CAGTAGCAGCAGCAGCAGAAGTAATAGATGCAGCTACACCAGTAGGAAACAGTACAGCAGCAGCAGCAGCAGCTGCAGCAGCAAATGCAGTAACAAATGTAGCTGCAACTGCAGCAGCAGCAACAAGAGTAAGAACTGCAGCATCAGCAGCAGCAGCAGCAGCAGCAACTGCTGCTGCGACAGCAGCAACAAGAGTAGCAGCAGCAGCAGCAGCTGCTGCTGCTGCTGCAGCAGCAGCAGCAGCCACACTAGCAGCACCACTGGGGGGGTTTGTCTTTCGACCCCCCCAGTGCAGCAGAACGAAGTTAACAGCAGCAGGCACCTGTGCTTAGCTGCAGCAGCAGCAGCAGCAGCAGCAGCAGCTGCAGCAGCAGCAGCAGCAGCAGCAGCTGCTGCTGCTGCTGNAGCAGCAGCAGCAGCAGCAGCTGCAGCAGCAGCAGCAGCAGCAGCAGCTGCTGCTGCTGCTGCTGCTGCTGCTGCTGCTGCTGCATTTTCTGAGGACATTATGCCGGCGCTGAAATTTTTGGGTGTATTGACACTGCAGCAGCAAACTGCTGCTGCTGCTTACACCAGCAGCAGCTAGCTGTAGCTAGCTGTAGCTAGCTAGCTGCTGCAGCTAGCTGCTGCTGCTAGCTTCAACAGCTAGCTGCTGCTAGCTTCAGCAGCAGCTAGCTGCTGCTGTGTTACTGCAGAAGAGACAAACAGAAATAGGATATACAGACAAACAGAATAAGGATGCTCGCTTAGGGTTTAGGGTTTAGGGTTTAGGGTTTAGGGTTTAGGATTTTGGGTTTAGGATTTAGGGTTTAGGGTTTAGGGTTTAGGGTTTAGGGTTTAGGGAGAGTCAGAGACGCATGACAACAGATGGTGTCTTCGCTCCGCAGCATCTAAACCCTAAACCCTAAACCCTAAACCCTAAACCCTAAACCCTAAACCCTAAACCCTAGCTAGACCCTAAACCCTAAACACAATGCTGGTGTGTTAAACAACAGCCCCTTGGCATGCAGTAGCCGCCTACAAGTGCTTAGATATACTAGCAACAGATGCAGACACTAAACCCTAAACCCTAAACCCTAAACCCTAAACCCTAGCGCCCGTATCCCTAAACCCTAAACCCTAAACCCTAAACCCGAGAATAAGCGGACCCTAAACCCTAAACCCTAAACCCTAAACCAAATAAACACTAAACACAAACCCTAACCCTCATAACCACTTTTTTGTTTTCCATATAGAGTAAGCTGTAGGGTTTATAGTATATAAGCAACAACAGAAGAAACGAAATAAATAAATAAATATATGCATGCATCTGCGGGATAAATGTATAAATAAATTACAATTTATATTAATTTATACTCCAGAAGAAGTATATTTCTACAGAAGCTGCAGGGTTTAGGGTTTCGGGTTTAGGGTTTAGGGTTTAGGGTTTAGGGTTTAGGGTGTGTGTGTGCGGAGCTGAGGGGTTATGTATGGGTGCTGTTATTTCATTGAATACGATTTATTTTTTCTTTTTGTTTTTGTTTAAATAAAATAAAATATAATTAAAATTAATTTTTAATTTTTGTTTTGTATTCAGAGAGAGAATTCAGGTGTATAGGCAGCTGCCGATACACCCCAGCACCACTGGTTGCATCGACGGTGCACATGTACTGTATACGCAGAATTTGTTCATTTTATTTTGTTTTTATGAATTTATATGAATATTTATATTTATTTTTATTCATTTAATTCATTAAAAAGCAGCAGCAGCAACAAACAGCAGCAGAAACCCAGCAACAAGCAGCCAGCAACAGCAAACGAATCCTTAGCTTTTTCTCTTTCTTTTGCAGCATTCATTTCTCCACTTTCTCTGCTCTTCTTCAGGTGTATGTACACCTCAATAAACCCTCAAAAGCTGCGTGTGGCTCACATGCAAACACTCTAAACCCTAAACCCTAAACCCTAAACCCTAAACCCTCATCGTTTGCTTCTCCCCATCAATTCTTATGCTGATATGCCCCCCCTCCAAGCCCCTATGGCTTCTGCAGCAGAGACGGGGGCCCCTGGCGGTGTACATACACCCCGTGAGGGGCCCCCCCTGAGTGCAGCAGCAAAAGAAACAAAACAAAAGGATACACAAACTAAGCAACAGCCAGCAGCAGAAGAAGCAAACACAACGCATGCAGCAGCAGCAGCAGCAGGTGCAGCAGATACTGCAGCAGCAAATGCAACAGCAACAGATGAAACAGCACCAGCAGCAGCAGCAGCAGCAGCAGCAGATGCAGCAGCAGCACATGCAGCAGCAGTAGATGCAGCAGCAGCTGAAGACACAGTCAAGAGCCATGCGGAGCCCAAACATAACGATGTAAGAACTTTAGCTGCTGCTGCTGCTGCTGCTGCTGCAGTACGTGCTGCTGCTGTTGCTTCTGCTTCATTTGCTGCTACAGCTGCATTTCCTGTTGCTGCTACAGTTGCTGCGTTTGCTTCTCGTTCTGTATTTTCTGTTGTTGCATTTGCTGCTGCT